CCCCTCCCCCGCGCCGTCTCAGCCCCCCCGCGCGGCTCCAGCGCCCGCCCAGTGCCCCCTCCGCCTCGACCACTTGATTTCGGCACCGCACCCCCCCCCGCTCCGCCCCCTCCCCCGCGCCGTCTCAGCGCCCCCCCGCGGCTCCAGCGCCCGCCCAGTGCCTCCTCCGCCCCGACCACTTTATTTCGGCACCGCACCCCCCCTCCCCGCTCCGCCCCCTCCCCCGCGCCGTCTCAGCCCCCCCGCGCGGCTCCAGCGCCCGCCCAGTGCCCCCTCCGCCTCGACCACTTGATTTCGGCACCGCACCCCCCCCCGCTCCGCCCCCTCCCCCGCGCCGTCTCAGCGCCCCCCCGCGGCTCCAGCGCCCGCCCAGTGCCTCCTCCGCCCCGACCACTTTATTTCGGCACCGCACCCCCCCTCCCCGCTCCGCCCCCTCCCCCGCGCCGTCGCGGCTCCAGCGCCCGCCCAGTGCCCCCTCCGCCACGACCACTTTATTTCGGCACCGCACCCCCCCTCCCCGCTCCGCCCCCTCCCCCGCGCCGTCTCAGCGCCCCCGCGCGGCTCCAGCGCCCGCCCAGTGCCCCCTCCGCCCCGACCACTTTATTTCGGCACCGCACCCCCCCCCGCTCCGCCCCCTCCCCCGCGCCGTCTCAGCGCCCCCGCGCGGCTCCAGCGCCCGCCCAGTGCCCCCTCCGCCTCGACCACTTTATTTCGGCACCGCACCCCCACCTCCGCTCCTCCCCAGCGGGCCGTCTCAGCGCCCTCCCGCGGCCCCAGCGCCCGCCCAGTGCCCCCTCCGCCCCGACCACTTTATTTCGGCACCGCACCCCCCCCCCGCTCCGCCCCCTCCCCCGCGCCGTCTCAGCGCCCCCCCGCGGCTCCAGCGCCCGCCCACAGCCCCCTTCGCTTCGACCACTTTATTTCGGCGCCGCACCCCCCCCCCGCTCCGCCCCTTCCCCCGCGCCGTCTCAGCGCCCCCCCGCGGCTCCAGCGCCCGCCCAGTGCCCCCTCCCCCGTCCACTTTATTTCGGCACCGCACCCACCCCCGTCCGCCCCCCTCCCCGAGCCGTCTCAGCGCCCCCCCGGCGGCTCCACGGCCCGCCCAAGTGCCCGCCCCGACCCACTTATGTCGGCACCGCACCCCCTCCCCCGCTCCGCCCCCCCCCCGCGCCGTCGCAGCGCCCCCCCGCTCGCGCCCGCCCATCCGCCCTCGCCCCGACCACTTTATTTCGGCACCGCACCCCCCTCCCCGCTCCGCCTCTCCCCGCGCCGTCTCGCGCCCTCCGCGGTTCCAGGCCGCCAGTGCCCCCTCCGCCAGCGACTACTTTTTTTCGGCACGCCCCCCCCCCCCCGCTCCGCCGCCTCCCCCGCACCGTCTGAGCGCTCCCCCGCGGCTCGAGCGCCCGCCCAGTGCCCCCTCCGCCCCGACACCCCCCCCCCATCCTCCGCCCCCTCCCCCACACGTCTCAGCGCTGCCCACGGCTCCAGCGCTCGCCCAGCGCCCCCTCCGCCCCGCCCACTTTATTTCGGCACCGCAGCCCCTCCCTGCTCCGCCCCTTCCCGGACACCGTCTCAGCGCCCCCACGGTTCCAGCGCCCGTCCAGTGCCCCGCGGCCCCAGTGCCCGGCCAATGTCTTTCCTGCCCCGGTGCGCCCCTTTCGCCCCTTCCCCCCAGTGTTCCCCGCGGCCTCAGCGGGGCCTTCTCCGTGGTTTCCTTCCGCCCCGCCCATCTTCTTTCCGCCCTCGCGAAGTAACACACGAGCGCCACAAAACGCTTAGGACATCGGGGATCCGGGTCATTACGAAATTGCAATTCTGGTTGCAGCAGCAACAAGAAACTGGGGATCCGGGATTCGCCCTCTGGAGCCCCTCTTGCGGCCTTGTTTTGTTCACTCCTTCTGCGATGTCTGGCATCCTCTCCCCCCCCCTCCTCCTCCACATCCTCCTCCTCCCCCTTCCTTTTTGTGCAAGAGCCATGGCACACGTGCCACTTGTTTATTTCCACTAGGAGAATGCCCCGTTGGAAGACAACCGTTTGAAAATCATGAACTGCGCCAGGACGCCATCCCTGAGACTTCAACCCCGCAGATCACCGTTACGGTTGCGTCTTGACGATCCTGAACCGCGCCCGAACACCAGTCCTGGGACTTCAACACCGCGAATCTACTGTTGCGCCCTCACGCTCCGACATCGTGCCAAAACATAGTTCCTGGGACGTTAACCATAAGGATCCTTAAAACTCTTGTGAGCGTTCAAGACAAATGTGCGCGGTGCCATGGCGAGAGCCACATTATGAGAAGAAACCGCCCTCCACTCGTAAAGCTCTGACAAACATTTAAAACGAAGGCGCGCGGCGCTAAAACGTGAGACACATGTTGAAAACGGCCCGCTCTCCATTCGCGAAGCTCTTGCTATTTGTGGAAATGAACATGGGCGGCGCTAAGACAAGAACCACACTTTGAAAGCGGTCCGCCTTTCATCTGTGAAACTCTTGCGAGTTTCAAGCGCAGGGGTCATAAATAGTAAGGAAATCTCAGGCGAAACGCCCGGCCCGCCCTATTGGGAGGAGTTATTCATAAGGAAGAGGGAGGGAGGATGAAGAGAAGGAGGGGAGGCTTCGTCAGACGACAATGCAGCCATCAAGTGTCAGGTGTCAGAAGGAGGAGGAGGAAGACGAGGAAGACGAGGAGGAGGAGGAGGAGGAGGAGGAGGAGGCGGAAAAGGAGGAGGAGGGGGAGGGGGAGCAGGAGGAGGAGGGGAGGGGGAGGAGGAGGAGGGGAGGAGGGAGAGAGGAGGAGGAGGAGGAGGAGGAGGAAGAGGAGCACCGCACCAGCCCATGCCACTCAATTCGCACGCGACGAGGGGGCGCGGCCCCTGAGGGTCGAACAGAAAACACACACGCACACACACACACACACCCACACCCACACTCACACCCACACACACGCACACACACACACACACGCACACACATACACGCACACACACACAGACACACACACGCACACACACACACACACGCACACACACACACACACACACACACACACACGCACACACACACGCACACACACACACAAACACACACACACTCTCTCACACACACACACACACACACACACACACACACACACACACACACACACACGCGCGCGCGCGCGCGCGCCTCGTCCTTGCCGAACGTTCCGCGCTGGGGTCAGGCCGCCCCCGCATCTCCTGCCAGGCGCCCGTTGCCTGAGTCTTTCGGCCCCGTCGCGGGGGGGGGGGGCAATCAATCCAACAGGGGCGCGCCCGCGGGCGAGGCCGACCCCGCATGCCACCAGCAGCACCGGGAGCGGGCCCAAGCAACGGGACCCCTTCGAGACCCAACTTCGAAACCAGAGGGGGGAGGAGAAGGAGGAGGAGGAGGAGGAGGAGGAGTCAAGTTAGCCAAGCCGAGCGAATGAGGGTGCCCCGTCTTTTCCCGCCCCCCATCCCACAACACTAAAACCAAGTGTGGCACAACCTGATCGTGTAATTAGAATGCTTCCCCATCTAGCAAGCGGAAGGCGCTCACGCGCGGCCCCGCCTCCGACGGCTTGACGAAAAGGAAAACTGCGCGGCCGTGCAGGGGAGGGAGCGGCGAAGACGAAGCATGCGCTGCGCTGACACACCACTGCCAGCTTCACACGCACACACACACACACACACACACACACACACGCACACACACGCACACACACACACACACACGCACACACACACACACACACACACACACACACACACGCACACGCACACACACGCACACGAGCTGCGCGGCGGTTCGGCGAGGTCGGCATTTCGCGCGCTGTCGGGCGGCGCCGCTGCCGCTGTCGCTTCCGTGCGATTCGGCGAACGAGCCATGCGCAACGCTCGCGCGGAAACGCCACTTCCGAGCGAAATGCGCACGGAGCTTGGGCGAGGGCGACGAATTGCCGCTCGCGCGTGCCCCCCTAAATCAGCGAGACAAACAAGAATGCGCCGCGCGGGAGCGCCAGTTTTCATGCGAAATCCGCGCAGCACCGAAGCGAGAGCGGCATTGTCGTCGCACACGCGTTGACGAAGGTGCGTGCGAAAAGTGCGCGCCGCGGCCAAGTGGCAGCATGGCTATGCTTCGGTAACAACTCATGGGAGCCTCCAGTACGATCTTGCTGGCTCTTGCTGGTCGACGCTGGTCGACGCTAGATCGACGCTAGTCGACGCTACATCGGCGCTTTCTTATCGATTACCAGAGGCTAGCACAAGCTATTGCATTTAAAGACGGAATTGCGTGGACATACATGTCTTCCATTATGTGCGACCGAATTCTGCAGATTTGTCCTGCCTTGACTTGGCGGCGCGCACACGGGGGTAGGGGGAGGGGGGAATGCTTCCTAGAAAGTGGCTGCTTCTCAGAAAGCGCCGGCCTTACATTTAATCGATAGATCAGGCATGCGCCTTCTAAGAAGCCGCCTCCTTCTAAGAAGCCTTCCCCCCCCTACCTCGGGCGCTGCCTCACCGACCCCTGGCGAACCAGCCCCTTCCGTGACGCCACCCTGACCTGCCAAGCTCCCCTCCGGCGCCGCGCACAGACAGACGTCCTGGGGCGAGGCGAGGGGGACGGCACGGAAGGGGATGGTTTGCCAGGGGTCGGTCAGGCCGCCCCCTTTCGGCCGGACCTAGCACAGAAAAGCATCCCTCAAGGGCACGAGGCCCTCCGCCGGCCAAAGCACCCCAAACCGCAAGAGGTCGCCGACCCCTCCCCCCCCCCCCCGGAAGCGCCCGCTATCGCCCGGGAATGAAAAACCGCGCTCCGGGCCTCAGGATCGAGAGTACTAAAAAGGCCTGGAACCCAAAATCCTCACTCTTGCTGGGCGGCCCAGGCCCAGACGTGCGATGTGCTGCTTGCTCCTCACGGGGCCCATGGACGTCCCGACCCGCTCCCCTGGTCCGGCTCTTTATCCTGAGTCGTTTTTCTGGTCCCGATGCCTGGCGAAGGCTCCCAGAGGCCGAAGAATGCCAAAAACCTCCCGCCCTGCCTTTTCACGACGCGGGCATGTCTTGGAGCGGCTCCACCTCCGCCATAAGGCAAGAAAAACTTGGAGGTCCGCGCGGCTGTCACGGACCGGCGCTGGACCCCCCTCCCTGGCGCGCTCCGCGCGCCAAGGGCGGCACCGGAGGCGCCGACAGGGGGCCCCAGCGCCGATCGCGGAGGAACCCGCGCGGACGTCCGAGTTGAATGTCATGTTTCATTCCCCGACGCCCGGGCCCGTGCGCGCCGAGGGGTGCTCTGGCGCCTGATTGGCCGGATGATGCCGTCGGCAAAGGTTGGCTGGGCCTCTGATTCCTGACGTCGGTTTTCTCCGGACCGCTGCACGTCGGTCGGAAGAAGTGGCTAAAAACATGAAGTAGGAAAACGGATAAAGTAGACGGGACCCAGGCCCTCCCAGAGAATCACAACATGCAGCAGAAGCAGATCGATTCTTGAGGTAGGAAGGCGCTTGGGGTAGATCGGGATCTGGAGGTCCAGAAATCAAACCCCCTACCTTCCTAGACCGACGGGTACTTCCCCCCGTGGAAGGTGGGCCGCTCGGGAAGAACGTTTGTGCCCCGACGCCAGGCCTCCTCGGCCCGCCCTCGCGCCCTCCTCCTCCTCCTCCTCCTCCTCCTCCTCCTCCCCTTAGCCTCGCCGCCCTCGCGCCCACCTCCGCCGGGCCGCCGCGGCGAGGAGGCGAGGGTGCCAGCGTCCCTCCCGCAGGGCGCCCCCGCCCCCCCCCCTGGAAGCCCTACTCTTCTTGGGGGAGTGGAGGGGGGGGCTCCTCGCGCGGACGGCCGCGATCGGCCCCACCCGCCCCCCGGAAGGGGCCGCAGGCCCTGGTCGGAGGGCCCGCAAGCTTCGGAGTAGGGTGATGGGCACGCTTGGTGTTTCCTCTGCGAGCACCCTCTGCTCACCACGAGGTAGGAGGAGGAGGACCGAGGAGGACGAGGAGCTGGATGGGAGTCTACGTTCGGACGAGCCTTGCAATTATCAGGCGTCCGTTGCCAGGAGGAGGACCGAGTGGCCAGCTACACCGTGGCACCTGGGCGCCTGGAAAGATGCGCTCGGTTATCGGTTCGTCTCGGTCCTCGTGGTGAGCAGAGGGTGTGCGCGCACATCAGTTCTTGGCGCCGCCGCCCGACGCAGCTCAGACGGAGCCGCGCGGCAGGCCCCCGAACAGCCGAGGAGCGAGGCGATCTGCAGCTCGCGCCTCGGCGATATGGGCATGGGATAGGGGACCATTGGACAAGGAATCCAGGGCCTGGAAGCTGGTGGACCACCAATCCTGGATTGGCCATGGACATCACTGCCGACGAAGGCCCACGAGGCCCCCAAGGTCGCCCCGAGACGGCCCAAGAGGCGTCGCATAGGGCCCCAACACGACGTAAGAAAGCCACAAAACAGCCCAAGAGGCCTCCAATACGGCGCAACGAAAAGATCCCAAGAAGCATCCCTGAGGACTCTGACCCACGTCAGCGTCGTCGTCGTCGTCGTCGTCGTAGCCGACGTCGCCGTCATCGTCGTTGTCGTCGTCATCGTCGTCGTCGTCGTCTCCCTTCAGGGTCGGCGGCACTGGCCGCAAGGCCTTCGCCATACACACAGACGAATTCCAGGATCCCCCATGCTTTTCAACATTTTCTGGGTTTTCGTCTTCCCCTCCACTTCCCATGTTTTCCCAGATTGTCATTGGACTCGATGTTTGTGTGCGTGCGTGCGTGCGTGCGTGCGTGCGTGCGTGCGTGCGTGCGTGCGTGCGTGCGTGCGTGCGTGCGTGCGTGCGTGCGTGTGTGTGTGTGTGTGTGTGTGTGTGTGTGTGTGTGTGTGTGTGTGTGTCTGTGTCTGTGTCTATGTTTCCCTCCTGACCACCCTCCCCCTCCCCCCCTTTGGTCACGTCACGGTTCGCGTCGGCGCCGCAGCCATTCCTGTAAGCCTTCCCGAACTGTGACGGCGCGAATCGTGACGTGACCAGCCCGCCCCCCCTTCCCCCCTGGGAACGCCAGTTGTCGCGCACCCCCGAAACGTGGTGCTTATGTTATTTTCTGTGCGATCTGAAAAAGCCATATCGCCGGATGTCTGGGGAAAGCCCCACCGCAGGGGCACCCAAAGCCGTGCGGTGTCGGACCGTGTGGTGACCTCGGAATCCCCAGCGACCCCACCGCACGGTCCGTCACCGCACGGAACCAGGACCCTAAGAGCCCCAGTCGCCCGAGACTTCCTCGGAGAATGACCCGAGTCCCCAAACCGTGCGGTGACCCCGAATCGCCACTGACTCACCATGCGGTGTGGTCACCCCACCGTTTCGGGGCCCCCGAAAGCAGGCGGAGGTAAAACAAGGGCCGCCTGCGCCGGCGCGGGGGCCCTAAGCGTAGAAGTTCAGCGCGCGCGCGCCCCCTCCCGTCCTTCCAAATGCAGAAGGCAGGCCCTGATATGATGATGGTGTACATCAGCGGCTTCGTTTCCTCGAAGGGGGGAAGGGAGAAGGAAGGGTGAGAGGGGGAAACTAAGGAAAAAGGGGAGGAGACGAGGGCTCGAGGAGGGGGATCGGGGAACCCTCGTGAGACTTGCAGAAACCTTCAATGATATCCAGAGGCCTCAAGATATCATAGTGGGAGGATGAAGAGGAGGACGAAGAGGAAGAGAGGGAAAAGGATGGAGAAGGAGGGAAAACGGATACAGCAGCTGTCTCTGGGAGGTCTCCAGACAAGGGCCCTCGCCGCCACGGCTGATGAATTCGTTTCAAAATCCTGGTTCGAACACACTCTAGGACATGTCCAGGGGGACCATGGGTTTCTTCTCCCTTGTCGTCGTCCTCGTCCTCCTCCTCCTCCTCCTCCTCATCATCATCATCATCCTCAGCATCATCATCGTCATGCTCATCAACATCACCACCACCATCACCATCACTACCATTAGCAACGCCATAATCGTCATCATCTGCATCAGCACCATCATCGCCATCATCAGCATGTCCGTCTTCATCCTCATCGTCGCCATCGTCATCGTCATCAAAATCGTCATCATCATCGCCATCGCCAACGTCATCCTCATCACCATGACAATCACGATCACCATCATTACCGCCATCACCACCATCATCAACATCACCATCAAAACATCATCAACAGTACACCCTGCGAAATGCTTAAGAAATCATGGGTTAAGAAACTCATAGTCTCAGAACTTGAATAAAACCCAGAACTTCTATCAAACTCTTGGGGTTCACATTGAAAAGTTAAGGATAATCGAGACTCTGGACGAAAACTTAGGTTTTCTTAAGCATCGCCTAAGGTGTAATCATACTCTTCAGCACCATCATCATCTTCCTCATCATCATCATCACCATCATCATAATAATAATCATCATCATCATCATCATCATCATCATCATCATCATCATCATCACCATCATCATCATCATCATCATCATCATCATCATCATCATCATCACCATCCTGACCATCCGCACCAGCAACAACATCAGCAACAACGTCATCACCATCGCTTCGGATCCTCCCGGCCTGTAGTGCCTGGGACAGGTCGTGCCTGCCTCAGTCGCAGGTGCTGCGGGACGCGGCGGGGTACAGCAGCACCCGCCGCAATGCACTGCGAGGTCCATGCCGGAGCTGCGCACCAGCGTGGTCGGCTCCCCGCCTGTGCCCACGCAGACGTTGATTGTCCTTCGTCGCCCACGCGACCATCAACCATCATCTTCTTGCACCTGACCCGGCTTTCTGGCAACCGCGGCGAAGCGGTTCACGCTCACGTTCACGTCCGCCTACATCTTCCCCTCGGGCTTCAGGTGTCCATCGTGCGCTGGCGGCGTCGGCGCCAGGCAGTCGATAAACTCGGACTATCCATCTGGTGCCACTACGTCCTCTTCCCCTTCGGCTTGTATGCGGTGCTCAACTTCGCTCAACTTCGACCCGCTCGTGGCGGCCCCTCCTTGCGGCACTGGGCGGCCCACTTCAGGCGGCGGTTCCCGTGGAAGCGGCTCCCACAGCGGCGGCTCCCACGGCGGCGGGTCCCGCGGCGGTGCCTCCCACGGCGGTTCCCAAGGCGGCGGTTCCCACGGAGGCGGCTACCAAGGAGGCGGGTCCCACGGCGGTTCCCGCGGCGGCGGTTCCCACGGACGCGGCTCCCACGGCGGCGGGCCCTTCGGAGGCAGTTCCCACGGCGGCGGTTCCCACTGGGGCGGTTCCGACGGTGGCGGTTCCCACCCAGGCGGCTCCTACAGCTCCCACGGCGGCGGCCCCCACCACAGCGACTCCTCGAAGCGGGCCCCTCTTGTCGCGTGACCGGAATTATGGACGTCGAACCATACGGAACTATTGACTCTGGATGTTCTGGCGGCGGTCCTTCCATCCGGTCTGAACTGTGCAGTGGTGACTTCGGCGGGAGATCCTGCGACAGCAGCGCCAATCTTTTTGACACTGCAGTGCGCTCGTAGCAAGAGGTGCGTTCGGTGAGGTCTCTGCGTGAGGACTCCCTGGAAACAAGTGGCTTGAGCCACATGTCGACAGATCGGCATACTGTCTCCTGCGAGCACTGTATGTGGCCACTGGAGGAAGAGGAGCAGAGAAAAAATACATTCACTACACTTACATAAGCTTAAAATGATGGGAGAAGAGAAGCGCCCTCGAGGGCTGGCCTCTGCCAGCGAGCCTTTGTCTGCCAGCGAGCTTCTCGTCTTCCCGCGAGCTGTTCGTCTGGGTTGCCCTCTCTTGTAGCCTGCTTCGCAGGCAAACGAGCGCGGTTACCTTCGCTACAGTGGCGCGGCCCCTGCTGGAGTCTCTTCTCCAACAGGGCCGCGCCGATGCCTGCACGTTCGCGCCGCAGAGGTTCTAGCAAGGAGGAGGGGAGAGGAACTAATTAATTACACGCAAATTTGAAATACACTACTACAACACAAGAGCTGCACTATGCCTCACGCACCGTGCAGCGCAATGCCGTGCCATACAGTGTTTCACGCCGGCGGCCCGTGGGGAGTCGGAAGGTTGCCCTCCCGACGGTCGGAAGGATGCCCTCCCGACCAAACCCCACAAGCTCAGATCTCGCTGGAATACGTGCCCTGGGATCTGCTCACAAGCTCCCCCCATCCGCGTGTCCAGAAAACTGCAGCGGATGTCCCAATGAGCGGTCCCACAGAACTGCGACAACTACAGCTGCTGCTCTCCCCGCTCGAGTGCCGCCCAACGCCGCTCCGACGATCCAGGACGGCATCGCTTCTTCCCACGACGCTTCTTGCCGTTCGGCTTGCTCTCGGGGTTCGTCTCCTCCGCCTCGTCCTGTTCCTTGAACTCGGTAGGCTGCTGAGGATCGTCGCTGTGAAAGACGATGACCTTCCGGATGGTGGCTGACTCGTAAACGGAACGACGCGGTGCCGGCGCTCCTGGTGGGACCGGGGGCACGCCTGTCGACGGCGAGCCTTGCGATGCAACCACGCGTCGCCGCGTTGCCGGGGCCAGGTCCCACACCTCGTCGATGACCTTCTGCACGTCGTCCTTGCTCAGCCTGTGGTGCCTGACGAAAGAGATGTACAACTTATGCCAGTTACCCTCGTGATTCTTCAAGATTGCAGGGAGGAACGACACTCTCTCCAACGCGGCCCACTTCCGGTTCAAGGCCTCCAAGATGTGGGCCCACATGGGGTGGTCCCTGGGCAGCCCTGGGTCCACGACGTCGTCTGGGAGTTCCACCGGCACGGACGGACCATCTCCAGCAATGTCACCGCGATTAGCGGGGCCAGGCGTGACCGACGTGCGGTGAGCCACGGCCCTGGTGGGGAAGTTCCCGGTCATAGCCTCGATCAGCACCTGGATGACGTCAGCGGCGGCCAGTTTCGTGAGTGCATCCGCCACCATCTCCTTGGTGGGGCAATGCGTGATCTTAACCCGGCCCTGCTGGCTCTCTTCCAGGAGCCGCTTTGCCCTGACTGCGTAGTAGCGCGTACGCCACGTCGCCCCGAAAGAGGCCGCTGTCAAGGCCGCCCGGTTGTCGATCATAATCTCCACGTGGCTGGGGTAAATGCCGAGGGTGTTGAGCAAGTAGCGGACTCCCTCGGTGACCTGCCACCCCATGGCCGCCGCGCACAACTCAGCTTCAGCAGTAGATAAGGCCGAAAGGGCCGCGCGGCTTGACCTCCAGGTAATTATGGACCCCGCCCAGGAAATGGCTAACCCGTTCTGGGACTTGGTGTCTGCTCCTGCGAAGCCAGCGTCGCTGTACACGATGAGCTCGCCCTCGCAGCCCTTGGCGGTCATGGTAAGGCCATACTCGACGCTTCCAGCCAAGTACCGAAGAACCTTGTGTGCCAATTCTCTGCTCCAAGCGCCCTGCTTACACGAGCTGGATGCCAACAGGCTCGTGTAATAGGCCACGTCGGGCCGAGTGCGCGTGGCCAACCAGTTGAAGGCCCCCGCGTACGACTGCAACTCCGTGAGTTGCTCCGGCGAGGGCACGTCCTCCACCTCCGGGGGCTTGTCGATCGTGATATTCTTCACGGGCCGGCAGTTCATCATGTTGTACTTGTTCAACAGCTCCTTCGTGAACCGCTCTTGGGTCAAGAAGATGTCCCCGTTCGCCCGCCGGTGCCAATCGATGCCCAAGAAGGTTAAGGAAGTCTCCGTGGTCAGCGTGCGCTCCGGGCCGAACTCCCGCAACGAGGTAAGAGACTGGACCATAGCATCTCGCACGGGACCCGTAGGGGCCATCACCAAGAAATCGTCGACGTACACGCACAACACTCCCAATGGCTGCTGCTCCCCCGTGCTATGAGACCGAGCCCCGGCCCGACCACACGGAGGCACCCGGTTGATCATCCAGACCTGGCTGTCGGCATCGTTCTGCTTGAGGCAGCAGGTATCCGAGCCTACGGTGAATTGGAGCTCCTTGAGGCGATGGTCACGTTCGTCGGACCACCACTTTGGACTCTGCCGGAGTCCATACACCGCACGGCGCAGACGCCACACGACGTCCTTACCGACAATGCCCCAGTCGACCCATTGCTTGGGCGGTTGGACTAGGATCAGCTCGTCCTTGGGCAACGGTGCATTGAGAAATGCCCCTTTTACGTCTAGTTTGCTGACTGACCACCCTCTGACAGCGGCCATCTTAGCCGTGGCGAAGATGCTCGACGGCTCCGCCTGCGCTGTCCACCGCTGCGCTGCTGGGTCCAATTGCTGAAAGTTCCCAGCGATGCAGCTCCGGCACTTCCGGTGGTCCTCGGAGGTGCGAGACCAGACGTTGAGCATCGGAAGGGGCCTCTTGCCGTACTCCTTCCGCTCCTGCTCCGTGGCCTCCTGGACCGCTTCCTTGGTCACGAATGAATCGTGCTCAGCCTGCGCGGCCAAGATCCATGCGTCGAGGTCCCGGCCGACGGCTCTGCGGACCTCCCCCGGCTCCACGATCATCTTCCCAGGCTCCGGGCCGGCAACCCGTTGAAGCATCTCGAGCTCGGCGCCGT